TCCGACGTTCGAGTACGCGCTTCGACGCGAACCTGAAATCGAACGTGTCAATTAGAATTTCCCTCTCGTTCATCGCCTCGTTTAACGTTTCGCGCCAACCTTTCGATTCGCCAGCGATTGATCGGGATCGATGCAACGAACAACAAACAAAAAAAAAAAAAGAAAAAAAAAACAAATCGCAATTCACGCAAAACCATTCGCCATCGATTCTTTGTTAGATTTATTGCGTCCAATAATCGTCGTTCAGCACGTTCGTACAATGCGGATCACGGTAACGAAGCGTGTCTCTCTCGTGTCCTGTCTCTCTCGGTTTTTCGAAAGATAAAAACATTTTTAACGATACATGGCTATTCGGCGTCGGACGTAACGCTCGGTCCGTTCGAATCGAGTCGAAGAAGACGAGCCGGTAAAAGTTCGATTTCGAAGCGATCCCCTAGTTCAGATCGATCACGTATACGTTCTGACCACGATGGCACTGTCGAATGTGTCTGTAAACGTGACCGCGTTGCTTCATCCTCGCGGTGCAGTACGGACACTGGACTCTCGGCTCTTGTCCGCACTCGAACTTGGTGTGCCTTTTCAGGTGCCAAGCGTGTATGTAACTCTTGGAACACCTCGAACACGTGTGTCTCTCGATCGCCCCAAGACCGCCACCGCCTCCGCCGACACCGCTTCTTCGCCTCCTCGAATTCAGCGGCTTCTCTTCCTCGTAATCGAACTCCTTCGCCTCTTCCATCACCACCGAGCACAGATTCTCCAGATCGGCTTCGATCTTGATGCATTTAGCGTCTACAAAAAGAAAAACGAAAAGGAGACGGTATTAGTCGATGCGGATCGAGGTGGATTCGCGCGACCACCGGGTACAACAGAAAATGGAGAAACGAAAACTGAACGAAAGAACGAAAGAACGAAAGAAAAAATGATGGAAGCGATTAGGTCGTTGCGAACGACCGCTATTATTATCCCGTCACCTGTGTTCCCGACCTGGATAAGGGATTCTCGGCCCGAATATTCGTCATTAATCGAGATTCGGTGAAAAGAAAGAACGAGAAAAAGAGAAAAAGAGAAAAAGAGAGAATAAGAAAAAATAAGAGAGAGAGAGAGAGTGCAAGTGAATTGGGAAGGTGAAAAGAAAAGCGGAAAAACGAGTTCGGAAACCGCGGTCGATGGTACGTTCTTCCGAGAAGTGATACGGTCTTGAAAAGCAGTAGCATCGTAAGAAGAATGCTTTATTCGATCACATGTACAATGAATTAAAAAGCACCGTAGTAGTTGCCACGCCGTGAATCGACGAGAAACGAAAGCGCGACGAAGCACGAGAGGCAAAAAAAGGATTTTCGCGCTGGGCAGCCTTCGCCGCGCGATCCTGCTCGATCGGAGCGAACGGTGGGCAAAAGGAGATCGAGTAGAAGAAAGTTGACGACGGGATCGAAGAACTCGTCCGGTATCAAGGCGAGTCGACGATATAGACGCGTTGACCGGAGTGTTTTCTACGTATGTGCTCGTTCACGTGAGCCCTCTGCTTGCTACGAATATCGCAGTACGGGCACTTGAATTTCGGCGCGACGCCGCACTCGTAACGAAGATGACGCCTCAAACTTTTCAACACGGAGTAACCGTTCCCGCATTTCGGGCACTCGTAGTTCTTTCTCCTGTTCCCTCTGCCTCGCAGCGTCCCGTAGACCATCTTCGACGCCTCGAACTTGAACGTCGTCTCGGCCCGACGATACGGTTCGCCGGTCCCGTAATCGTCGTACGGTGCACGATACAAACGGCCCACTGAAAACAAAAGATCGCAACGATTAGAGTGGCGACGAAACGGAAACGGTAACGGAAACGGAAACGATTTCCCACGGGGAAAGGTTCCTCGCGCGAGCCCGTTTCGACAGGGCTCGACAGAGATATCGGTTCGCGTGCAAAAGCGAAATCGTCGTGGTTAATTGGAAAGGATCTTTTATTCGTTGACTCGATGATGCGTACAATGTATTTGGTCGCGCGTACGGGACCAACGGTCGTCAAAGGTTAGCGTCGACGGAGCGTATCGATCCAACTCGCTAATGCTTCAGGTCGATCAGCTGAATTATCTGACCGGGATGTACCTTTCGAATGTGGTGGTAAATCTGAGACGTTTGCTTACTCCTCAGATCGCAGTAAGGACACTTGAATCTCGGTTCGTATCCACACTCGTACCTGAAGTGTCGATTGCGGTTGCTCTTCAGCGTGTATCTATGCAGACATTTCGGACAGTAATAGTAACTGACCGTGTTGAATCCGCGCTCGATCGCGTTCATCATGTAGTCTATCCTGTCCAGATCTGAAAAACAAAACGTAAGATCCGTGAACGTCCGTTCGAGGAACGACTCTCGATCGGTCGAGTAGTAGTAGTAGTAGACGCGCGTTCGGTATCGGCGTTCCTCCCTCGTCCGGACCGAAACGTTCGGACACGGCCGAGGAAGAAACGCGAGACGCGTCGGTTCGTGGCACACACATACAACCAACTGAATCTTTCAACATCGATTTTATTTGTATCTTACATTTTCCATAGCGACGATATACGATCACAAAACATCGTGGACAGTGTGGAGAGTGTGGGGGTGGGAATGGGAGGAATAGTAGTAACTGTATAAGACATCGAATGTGTCGCCGCGCGAGAACATTTATCCGTTACTCGATGAGTCGCGGAATCGAACGGAGAAAGAATAAGTTTTTCGCTCGTGCGACGAGCGCAAGCGCGACTTTCCGAATCGACCGCTCGAACGTACCCTTATCGCTACAATATCCTCGTTAATAATACGTATATCACAGCAACAAAAACAGTCGGCAACTAACGTCGAACGTCTAGGTGCGGTTTAAACAACGGGAATAAGATGAAAATTCTCATTGCAACGCGAACAACGACGCTTTCGTTTCGGGCACTTTTCTTTTCGATTCTTCCTCTTTATTCTCCCAAATATCGAGCGCGTTTTACCTTCCGTCGTCGCGACGCTTCCGATCGACGGAACGGTGAAATCAAGAGGCAAGGAAAGGGAGAAACAGGTAATGGAAACGAATAACGTTTGTCCCGACGCTACACCCTGTACCATTCAGTCTTAACACGACGCGCCGTGTTTGAGCCGTACGTTGCACTCTACCTCCTCTTTACGCAACGAATAACGATACATCGGACGCAACATTATCATTACTCGAAACAACTGCAACAGAGACGAATAGATTCGTTATAAGGTACGTGTGTATATTCGACGAACTTTGACGGCGCGTTCCTTCGTCTTCTTCTCGCAATCGTTTCTCCGTTCGCCACGGACGAACGCATAGGAATCGAAACGCGACGGCGCTCGACAGCTCGAGTACGCATCGTGGAACTTTAAATGCACTTGTACTTGAAACGTATTCTTTGCTTCTCGACTCGTACGATCGAACGAAGCATCGTCGCGTCGAGAGGATAAAAAACCGTCCCTTAACCCCTTAACCTTCGAGCCCGTTAAACGGCGAAACTCGTTATTTGTTTTTGCTCCGTCCAAGAGCGACCGTATCGTCGTCGTCGTCGTCGATACGAATCGTGCTTTCTCCTCCGCGACGATCGCTCGTTCGACTCGTTTCGCTGCGTCGAGAACCTTACGCGCCTATCTAACTAGCTAAATGTACTCCCTTCTTCTCTTTTTCTCACTTTTTTTTTTCGTTTTCTTTTCGAATGTCGCGGGAAAGGCCGGAAGTGTCGGCGAAAAGCGGTCGATTGTCTAGAACGTGTTAAAGGTAACCGATCGCGTGTTCGACGATCCTCGAGAGAGAAATGCAACGCGCCGATGCCGCTTGGCCCTTGTTCAGTTCTCGTACTTGAGATGCACCACGTAAACTCGCTGGCCGGTATGCCTGGTTCTGATGTGAGACATCACGTTGGACGTTTGCTTGCTACGGAACTCGCAATAAGGACACTGGAACCTGGGCGCCTGACCGCACTCGTATTTCAGATGCCTGGTCATGTTGCCCTTGACGGTGAAGCATCGTCCGCACTTGGGGCAACCGAACGGTTTCCTGAAGCACTCGGCGAACGATCCTTTGGCGTAAGCGTTCCTCGCGCGGGCCTGAGCATAGTAATTCGGCAGCGACCTCGTCGACGACGCGCCGCCGGAATCGCTCTGGCTAACTTCCCTACCGTTGCCCTCGTTCTCGAACGCCTTGCAAGATTGTAAAACGAAGTTTAGATCCAACTGCGGCGCGGCAGCATAGAAACCTGAAACTTCAAGGGTGATCGATTAGTCGTACCGAAAGCGCGTACACCGCTCGTTGAAAATCGTAAGGATCGTCGAGGATCGTCGAGGGGATCGAGGAGCAAGGAAACGTGTGTTCGGACGAAGAAACGAGGTTCCGTGATCGTTGCGGCGAGGATAAGGGTTCCGGATTAAGGGGGACGGTCACGCATGCTTTGAAGTTCTCGATCGTTAAACGGAGAGAAAGAATGATACCTTGAAAGATTGCGGGCGATCTTCTGGACGAAAAAACGTCGAATCGATTTCGATCGTTCTCCGTTTCGAACATTTTTGCGAAGCAAGTTACACGACGACCAAAAGACGCGTCAATTCCGCGGACTCGTATCGTATTCTAATATATCTACTTGCGAGAAATGCTTCTTAAACTCTATACAGAGTAGCCGTTAGTCGATCGACTCGAGAGATCGTTGTGATGCAGTCTTCCAGTGACGACGGCTCCTCGATGATCCGCCTCGAGGCATATACGCCAGACGGATTAAGCTACATAGTATCGATCGATAGATCATTCGACGCGATGCGTGCGCGTGTATGCGTGTGTGTATGTACGTGTGTATTATCTACCGGTAATCGTGTCTACGTCCTATGTCTATGTCTATTATGTTTATGCGTGATCGTTGTTGTAATCCCTCCTGCTGCTTTCGTAATTGTTGCTGTTATAATCGCCGTTCAACAGAATATAGTGTTGTAGCATCGATTAAATTTACGTTCAACTCGAGACATTTATAAGAAAGGAGATCGTGATTTTTCTTCGTATATTTTCAAAATCGTATAGACAAACGGTTCCAAGGATATAGCGATTGAAAGTTCGCGTCACGAATTCCACGTTGCTGCGCAAAAAGTCCTCGTATTTCGAAACGAACGCGTGCAGAAGACAAAGATAGAAGGAGAAAACTGGAAAGCGACGCGTAATCGGATAATTCGTAACATCGACCGAGAACGTGGATCGAGATCAACGCGGATCGTCGAACGTTGCAGTTCAGAGCTTCATGTCGAAGATAAACACCTCCTCTTCCGGATGTTTCTTCCTGATGTGGGCGTACACCGGGGAAGTCTGCTTGCTGCGCAGACCACAGTACGGGCACTGAAATCTTGGCTCGTGACCGCATTCGTAGTTCACGTGACGATCTTTGTTTCTCTTCAAGGTGAACCCGCGACCACACTTTTGACACTGAAACGGTTTCTTCTTGTCGCAAGCGTTCATCTTCAAGCTCTTGCGTTTCACGTTTTTGCTCGACTCCAAATTCTGTTTACCGATCGTCCCCGATCGGCTCTTGAACGTCGTATTATGCCCGAGCGGAAGCGGCAAAATATGGAATCCTGAAACACGGAGACGTAAAAGCTGAACAGAATACTCGACCGCTAACCAACCGGGCATTAACCCGAGGCTGGCCGCGCGTCGAACGCGAACGTTTCATCGAACGCGTACCGATTTCGCACACCCTTATCCCCCCCATCTTCGACGATCGCCGTTCGATGAAACGCGCGATTCGACCAACGTTCCTTCGTCTCTTCGGCCGCGATCGCGCTATTAACGATTTCGTGGCGCGCGTCGAGCCTCCGTCGATACGCAACGACCACGGAAACGCGATACAAATTTTACTTATCCGTTCCTTACTTCTCGAGCATCGAACGTCGTCGAACGTCGTCCGCGTTACCGTCGTCGTTGTCGTCGTCGTCGGTCGCGAGCTGAAAAACATCCAAGAAAACCCGTCAATGAAACTCGAACGTCCGCTCGACATTTACCTCTCTCTCTCTCTCTCTCTCTCTTTCTCTCTGCGATACGATGCGAGGACGTCGAGACCGAAACAGGGTCGGGGGGAACACCGTGAATCGAGGGTAAGATCAATATCATCGTTGTTCGAGTTCATCACGCAGCTTTATTTCGAGCAACAACGAAAGATTAATGGGAGTAAGCGAAATTAGAGACGGAAGAAACCGTTGAGCTTCCGATCCCAGAACATTTGCGCGAGCTGTGGATGGTGCACGCGTAAATGTCGAATCATGTGCGCCTTTTGGTAGTTTTTCATCGCGCAGTGCGGACACTCGAACCGCGGTGGTTGTCTGCATTGGTTCCGCAAATGCGACAGCATCGACTTCTTCCACTTGTAAAGATTGTGACAACTAGGACACTCGTACATCCCGTTGCGTCTGATGATGACGAACTCCCTGCCGGAACGGCCGTGAAACCGTTCGAATTTCGTCACCTCTTTCACGCATCCTGAAACAAACGCAAAGAAAAACGAACCGTTAATAACGACGCAACCGTTGGCCTACGACCGATTCGCAGAGCTTCCACGAGAGCTCCTCTCCCGTCAATTTTCGTCGCGTATGCCTACGTTTCGTTCTGTTCTTCGGTTCCATCGATTTTCACGCAAAAACGAACCAGAAGAAGTAGAAGAGAAGGAGGAGGAGGAAGAAGAAGAAAAAGAAGAAGTCGAAGAAGAAACGAACGAAACCGTGTGCCACACGCTGCTGCGTCTTTAGTCTCCTTTCGCTTCTTTTTTCTCGCGGCGACGTCGCTTCTTGCTCGCGACATCCGCCGGACGTATCGTAAACCGATGTTTCTCGTCGATTCGTTCGCTGAACTTGTCTTGTTCCACGAAAACCGTCGCAAACCAAAGTTTCGAAAGAAAAAAAGGATGAACGCGATTCCCGCGATACGCGAGACTGAAAAACACAACGAAAGTAGCGTCGAAGAAACGAAACGGAATGGAAAGTAAAAGATAAGCAGTCTCTTCGGCCGCGATCGCGCTATTAACGATTTCGTGGCGCGCGTCGAGCCTCCGTCGATACGCAACGACCACGGAAACGCGATACAAATTTTACTTATCCGTTCCTTACTTCTCGAGCATCGAACGTCGTCGAACGTCGTCCGCGTTACCGTCGTCGTTGTCGTCGTCGTCGGTCGCGAGCTGAAAAACATCCAAGAAAACCCGTCAATGAAACTCGAACGTCCGCTCGACATTTACCTCTCTCTCTCTCTCTCTCTCTCTTTCTCTCTGCGATACGATGCGAGGACGTCGAGACCGAAACAGGGTCGGGGGGAACACCGTGAATCGAGGGTAAGATCAATATCATCGTTGTTCGAGTTCATCACGCAGCTTTATTTCGAGCAACAACGAAAGATTAATGGGAGTAAGCGAAATTAGAGACGGAAGAAACCGTTGAGCTTCCGATCCCAGAACATTTGCGCGAGCTGTGGATGGTGCACGCGTAAATGTCGAATCATGTGCGCCTTTTGGTAGTTTTTCATCGCGCAGTGCGGACACTCGAACCGCGGTGGTTGTCTGCATTGGTTCCGCAAATGCGACAGCATCGACTTCTTCCACTTGTAAAGATTGTGACAACTAGGACACTCGTACATCCCGTTGCGTCTGATGATGACGAACTCCCTGCCGGAACGGCCGTGAAACCGTTCGAATTTCGTCACCTCTTTCACGCATCCTGAAACAAACGCAAAGAAAAACGAACCGTTAATAACGACGCAACCGTTGGCCTACGACCGATTCGCAGAGCTTCCACGAGAGCTCCTCTCCCGTCAATTTTCGTCGCGTATGCCTACGTTTCGTTCTGTTCTTCGGTTCCATCGATTTTCACGCAAAAACGAACCAGAAGAAGTAGAAGAGAAGGAGGAGGAGGAAGAAGAAGAAAAAGAAGAAGTCGAAGAAGAAACGAACGAAACCGTGTGCCACACGCTGCTGCGTCTTTAGTCTCCTTTCGCTTCTTTTTTCTCGCGGCGACGTCGCTTCTTGCTCGCGACATCCGCCGGACGTATCGTAAACCGATGTTTCTCGTCGATTCGTTCGCTGAACTTGTCTTGTTCCACGAAAACCGTCGCAAACCAAAGTTTCGAAAGAAAAAAAGGATGAACGCGATTCCCGCGATACGCGAGACTGAAAAACACAACGAAAGTAGCGTCGAAGAAACGAAACGGAATGGAAAGTAAAAGATAAGCAAAGAAAGGGGAAAAGAAAGAGAAAAAGAAAACGAACGGTGGTCGACGTCGATTCACGAATTAATCGGTCCGATGCTCCTGATGGATCAGCTTCGCGTTCGTCACTATATCGACGCAATAGAGCTCGCAATTCGGATGAAAGGTGCGTATGTGGGTCCACACGTGGGTACGTTGTCGAAGATGATGCTTGCAATAAGGACACTCGAATCTCTGGGACGTTCCGCACTCGTACTTGTAGTGTCGTATCATGTGGCTACGATGCTTGTAACTGCGAAAACATTTCGGACACGGATGTCGATTCCAAACGTCGTAATCGCAGGTTTGCTTCGAGCCTCCGCGAACGTTTAAGCTCCAGCTGTTTATCGACAAACCTGAAAAAGAGAAAAATTTTTCGCACGGTTAGTTGAACGGATTCGTAACGAAGCGGAGACTCGAACGATTCTCTGTCCGCTCGTCGACGATGCACGACCAACCTACGATCACGACGTTGGGCAACGAGGAGGAAAACGAACGTTCCGAACGTCCGTGTCGGAGAAGAAGAAGAAGAAGAAGAAGCAGAAGAAGAAGAAGAAGAAGAAAGAGGGAGGAGAAGGAGTCGACCGTGTTGCTTTTCTTCGTCGCGCGTACCTTAATAACGGGAGGAAAACGAGAGACGGCCGGTGTCCAAGGTGGAAGGAAACGAGCCGTTTCGATCTCTAAGAAGATTTATTTATCGTACAGTTCCTACGAATAAAAACGTACAACGTTGGAAAAAGTTAGCGGCAACGAGAGTTCGGAAAGGGCATCCTTCGCTCGACCGCTTTGCTATTAGTACGCGGGACACGAAGCGTAATTTCGTTTTACTAACGGAGCGTCTTTCGTCGTGGTCGTCGTACCGGTCGCTCGCGACGCTCAAGCCTGTTGAGTGTCCAAAGCGTAAATCGGTCGATCGCTGTGATTGCTCTTGATGTGCGAGTACACGTGCGATCTGTGTTTCCCGGCGTACATGCAGTGCGGACACTTGAACCGCGGCGCCTTACCACACTCGTATTTCAAATGTCTGTGAAGTCCTCGATACCACTTGTAGGTCTTCTGACAGTTCGGGCAGGCAAAGTTACCTCGCGAGCTGTTGTTCGTCGTCGGGAGCCTACCGGCGTTGTTGTAGCACGTTCGCCTCCGATCCAGTAGTACGGGGGTCAGGTAAGGCAACGTGGTCGCGCTGAACATCACTGTAAAATTACACGGTAGTTTTCTCAGTGAGTGAAGTTAGCAGGCAAACGGGGTAGCTCGACGACACACATAAAAGAGTAATTATTTCGCCCGTTTCTCTTAGCGACGCGCCGCTAAACAGAGAACAAGCGAAACCGGAATTCCGATACTTTGGTCCGATGAATCGGTGCACGCGGTACACGCAGTGTACGATGGAAAGCTCGACACGATCGATCACGTTACTATCGCGTCAACAATTCTCTTTCTCTCTCGTCAACGTTCTAACATGAAAGACGACAAATTTATTCTCAGTGAAACGTTACAATGGAAAAATGTCAGGAAAGTACACGATCGGGATCACGGTATCGCGGTCGCGTCGTCTCTCCTTCCGTCCGAGTCCATCCGCTGCTCGTCGGGACGTACGTACGTCGACGATCGCCGCCACCTGAAATCAAGATTACCGAGATCGTTAGTACATATCGAACGGCGAGGAAACGCGTTGCTTTCGTGTCCCCGACGACCGAGAGTTCGACGCGTACGCGCGAATTGGCTCGAAAATGAACAGGCCGACAGAAGTTTGGAATTCAGAGAGAACTTTATTGGCATCGTCGATCGCGTGCACCGGCGGACCGTGCGGAACGGACGCGTAACAAACGTGGAGCGGACGAGCATCGTCAGTAGAGCCGCCTGAAGCAGAGCACTTGGCCGGGATGATACTTCCTGATGTGAGCGTAAATGTTCTGGGTAAACTTGGAGGGCTTGTCGCAGTAAGGACACTGATATTTCGGCGCCATGCCGCACTCGTGCCGCAGATGCCGCGTCATGTTTTTCTTTAGAGTGAAGCCGTGATTGCAGCGTGGACAATAGTAACTCTTGTTCACCGAGTACATTTTCCGCCGCTTCCTGGTTACGTTCTGGCAAACACCTGAAAGATCGAAGGAACGTGTTAGCGAGAGAGAATTCTTTCGATTTTTGTCCCGTCCAGGAGTAGCCGCGTTCCTAGAATAGATATCTTTTCTAGAGTCGCCTATACGCTCGACTATATTCGTGGCTGAAATGGGATATGTGTTGTACCAAATGAGCAACTCTCTCGGACACTGATACACAAACACGCATATATTTAACATGGTAGAGAACACGTGAAAAATCTTACACGATCTTACGTTGCTAATCGCATCGTTTCGTAGCGTGTAGGTGCTCGGTCGCGGTGGACGCGTCGCGCGCGATCAGAAAAATATTCGAGATATCGGACGCGACCGGCTACTCGAAATCGAGTGAATCGGTCGCGATCGTTCGACCGATATATTTCCGTCGAGGACGCGCGTCTACGACGACCGCTGGTGCCGTT